TCGCGAAGCAGCTTCATGTAGGCACCACCACATTCCAGGCCATCTATAAAACGGAGCGCATGTTAGTACAACCAAGGTCATTTGCGAAAGCAACGAGAATACCGAGAGGAAAGAGATGCGACGTACTCTGAAGCTTGACCTCATACTGGGCAACAAAGGTCTTGCCCTTGTTGTCGATCTTGGAGGGGAACTTGGCCGAGATGGCGTGGTGAGCGGCAGGGTTCTTGACAACAAGTCCCTTGTCACCGTTGATACCCTTATAAACGACAGGCTCCTCAACAGCCCACTCGCCAACATATGCCCATTCCTCCTCTTCCTTGTCGGAGCCAGTCGTGTCCTTCTTGGCAGTGGATGGCTTCCACCGCTTGTCCCAACCATCGGTGAACTGCTCGAGGAAATCGGCCTTGAGAGTGGTAGGCTAATCAAGTACAAGGTCAGCGATCAATGGCGATACAACATGAGGGCGGAAGAGACGGGAATGGAAGCTGCAAGGTTGCTGCGGGGAGTCGGAGTGGGCGGAGCAGTGTAAAGACTTACAGTGAACTTGGGCAGCTCGGGAGCTGAAGCAGTGCTCTCCTCGAGCTCCTCGTGGGCCATGACGCCGGAGAGCATGGCCGCCGACAAGGCAGCGGAAGCAGCGTTGAACTTCATGATGATCAAGCTACTTTGTAAGCTTTTGGTAGTGTAGACCCTGGAGAAAACAGGCGCAGTTCACAATCAAGTGACTGGATGGGAATGAATGTGGATGTTGTCAAATACCAATTGGGATGACCCAGCGCTTGAGGATTGAAGATTCCCTGAGAGAGAAGTTGGAGGAAGGAATGTTGGAGCGAGGCGGAAGCTTTAACTTTCGCTTGGAACTCGAGGGTGGAGCCCAAGCCTCGCTTTAAGGACACGTAGAAGCTGATGGGGTGGTAAATGTGGCTTGCTTAGGTGCTCAAGGCCCAGAAGAGCTGCTGCCGGGTGCGCTGAGTGCGGGGACGGCAATTGGCGCGCCACATGGGATTGCCAGAATGGGCAGGCCGCAAGCCACCACGCTCTCAGGTACCACCTTGGCTGCAGCCGAAGGTGATGGAACACGCTTGCACAAGCTCATGCTGAACCAAAGAACCCTAGCTGTCTGGCTAAAAGGACACAGTATACCCGTGCTACGACGCAGACACCGGTGTTCCGTTACTCTGGATGCGGAGATCGTAAGTTCAAGCACCCCATTTATGCAGGCAGCGCATGACAATTCCCGTATCCTTTGTTCAATGGCTTGGTTTGGAAGCCAACTGGCGGAACTAAAAAGTGGCACAAAGATACTCCCAGCCTGGTGATGGATCCAGTATTTTTTGGGTTGACAGGAGCAATTACAATACTGAGTGAATAAGGAATCCTTGTATAATGCCTAGACACCTTGTTAATATATGTCCATGATCAACCTCATTGTTCAGAATAAAATATCGAAATCTAAGGTCGATGGCCTGGGTGTGCTACTGTCTACCTATTTAATTACGTCTCTTGACTTTCTGCTACCGCTCATAGATTGGTCCTTCCGATTTTCCCCAAGCAACACCACGGGGGTGTACCCACCCGGATCTGAGCTGGATGATTAGTAATGCCGAATGTCCATGTCTTAGACCTCATGACTTTGTAGATTCGCCTAGGAAATCAAGAGAGAAATGGTGGCAATGGTCCTGCGAGAGGGTAAGTTCATACTATCAGGGCTACCTCAGTAAAGGTTCAAGCTAGCGCTCATGGACGGGCGCCCGGATCACGAGGGGATATGGAAGGGTTCGGGTCTGTGAGAGATCACGGTTCCTCCACACCAGATCTTATGGCAAACTCAAGCACAGGAATCACCATACTCGCTTATACGAGATGAGACATAGACAGCTAAGTTGTAGAGCAGAGCTCATATTGCCCAAGGCATAGCTGAGCGTTCTCAAACTATCCCTCAGCTGAGCAATTGAGCTTGCGAGAGAGCCCATCAAACTACTAACCACGCCCTAAAGAAATTATCCAACACATCATCAAGGCTTCCGTCGTCCACCACTAGGTAGATTAATCGCGGCAAAACTGAGGCAGGCGACCATGTTGGCTGTAGAACACCCGAAGACATGTGCGGGTGCTTAGGTAATCGCGTTTCCTGCTAGGCCGATGGTAATAAGCCCCCGATGATTGGCCAGATGAGCCGAGGAGCCGACTCCCCGATCCCGAACCTCGTTCCTGTCCAGCAGAATCGACGTCAAACACTCTGATTCTGACAATCCGGTCGCCATCGACAACGCAGCAACTTTGGATGTAACTTGTTGGCCATTCCAATCTATTGCTGAAAATGGCTTCCTCCATGGCATTGAGGCGTTTGGCCTCTGGATCTTCGGTGAGTCTCAGTTTGTGCGCCTTGTGCTCGAAATCTTTCCGTCACCTGCAAATTGTTGTTCGTTCGCCATACTGACCGCAACAGTTTGCGCGGTCTACACAGAGCCAGTTCCGGGCTTTCTCGTCAACGAGACTTAACGGTAAACTCACCTCCCCCAGGCCAATGCGTGCCATGGCTTGTCCAACGAGCTAATCGTCAATTTTCTTGCAGCCCGCGTGATCGCAAACCGTCCTCTCCGGGCCAAAGAGGCTTCTCCTTTCGTGAGCAACAAGTATCCCGTCATTGTACGTTCACCCGCTCCTCAGCGTCGAATCCCAGGATCAGTGCTAAATTGGCTGTGACAGGACCACGAGTACGATGCCCTCGTTGTCGGTGCCGGTGGCGCCGGTCTCCGTGCTGCTTTCGGTTTGGCCGAGGCCGGGTTCAACACAGCCTGTATCTCTAAGCTTTTCCCCACGAGAAGTCATACCGTCGCCGCTCAGGGTGGTATCAACGCCGCCCTAGGAAACATGCACGAGGACGATTGGCGATGGCACATGTATGATACCGTCAAGGGTTCTGACTGGCTCGGTGACCAAGACGCCATCCACTACATGACACGTGAGGCTCCCGCCTCTATTATCGAGCTTGAGCACTATGGTTGTCCCTTCTCCCGAACCGAGGATGGCAAGATGTAAGTTTGGAAATAAAAGTTACGAGGGGTGTTGCCTTGGCATGCTGACCAATTTCGCCTAGTTACCAGCGTGCTTTCGGTGGTCAGTCTCAGAAGTTTGGCAAGGGTGGTCAGGCCTACCGATGCTGCGCTGCCGCTGACCGAACTGGCCATGCTCTTCTTCACACTCTCTACGGTCAATCGCTTGCCCACAACACCAACTACTTCATCGAGTACTTCGCCCTCGACCTGATTATGCAGGACGGTGAGTGCCGTGGTGTCCTGGCCTACAACCAGGAAGACGGTACTCTCCACCGATTCCTGGCTAACCACACCGTCCTCGCCACCGGTGGTTACGGCCGAGCCTACTTCAGCTGCACTTCTGCCCACACCTGTACCGGTGACGGTATGGCCATGGTTGCCCGTGCTGGTCTTCCTAACCAGGATCTTGAATTCGTCCAGTTCCACCCCACTGGTATCTACGGTGCTGGTTGCCTGATCACTGAGGGTGCTCGTGGTGAGGGTGGCTATCTTCTCAACTCTGAGGGTGAGCGTTTCATGGAGCGTTACGCCCCTACCGCCAAGGATCTCGCTTCCCGTGACGTCGTTTCCCGATCCATGACCATGGAGATCCGTGACGGCCGTGGTGTTGGTGCTGAGAAGGATCACATCTTCCTCCAGCTCAGCCACTTGCCCGCTGAGATTTTGGCTGAGCGTCTGCCTGGTATCTCTGAGACTGCTGGTATTTTCGCTGGTGTCGATGTCCGCAAGCAGCCTATCCCTGTCCTGCCCACTGTCCACTACAACATGGGTGGTATCCCTACCCGCTACACTGGTGAGGTTCTCACCGTTGACGAGAAGGGCGAGGACAAGGTTGTTCCTGGCCTGTTCGCCTGCGGAGAGGCTGCTTGCGTGTCTGTCCACGGTGCTAACCGTCTGGGTGCCAACTCTCTTCTGGATCTCGTCGTCTTCGGTCGTGCCGTCTCTCACACCATCCGCGACAACTTCAACCCTGGCGACAAGCTGAAGCCTCTTGCTGCTGATGCTGGTGCCGACCACATCGAGGTGCTCGACAAGGTCCGCACTTCAGAGGGTCCTCGATCCACTGCTGAGGTCCGTCTGGCCATGCAGAAGGCCATGCAGACCGAGGTCAGCGTTTTCCGAACCCAGGAGAGCTTGGACGAGGGTGTCCGCAAGATGACCGAGATCGATGCCCTCTTCCCCGAGGTTGGTATCAAGGACCGCAGTATGATCTGGAACACTGATCTTGTTGAGACTCTCGAGCTCCGCAACCTGCTGACCTGCGCGTAAGTCTTCCTCCCTCTAACTCCTCAAAAACATCAAAAGTGATTTCATATTAACCGACTATAGTACCCAAACCGCCACTTCCGCTGCCAACCGCAAGGAGTCCCGTGGTGCCCACGCCCGCGAGGACTACCCCGACCGTGACGACGAGAACTGGATGAAGCACACTCTGTCCTGGCAGAAGCAGCCCCATGGCAAGGTCGACCTCTCCTACCGCCGTGTCATCTCCACCACCCTGGACGAGAACGAGTGCGCGCCCGTGCCTCCCTTCAAACGTGTATACTAAGCCATCAAATTCTGTTCATTTTTTGTTTCATAGATGTGTGTCAACAAGGAAAAGTGTCAGCTATTGGGATGACGCCGAGGTGGGAGAGAGGAAAAGATCAATGTTGGGTCTCGATCGTAAACTAACCAGCCAGGCCGCTTCTCTACCTGTACAAACTGAGAAGGCCCAGGCCTGGGGTAATGCAACATGAATCTGAAAGCGAAGAAACACAAAAATACAAAAAAAAGAATCGAAATTAAAGCGCTCAGTTGGCCTATCTCGTGATGTCTCAGGAGTCGTTACCCTGGAGTTGATGAGGATGAAGACCGGAAGCTCAAATGCTGCAATCTCATGATGCAACTGAAGAGAGGTCGGCAGGATAAACCAAGTTTCTTCTTGTCAGTTTATTCTTCTTACATGTCGGCGTCACACCACAACCAAAAGTCAGGTTGCCCTCGCACCTCCCGGTACCTCTTTCTAATATGTGGCGCATATATGCGAGACGTTATGTTTCGATTTCGCTGATCATCGTCCGGAAGTCTCACAGTCTCTCCTAATTCACACAAGTAGAGTAGTTCTTCCCGGAAACTAATATCTAGGCGCACATGGGAAGCATTACAGGTTAGTTTCCTGACTTGAGGGAAATCTTTATCTGGATCCATTTTCCATCCATTGAATAGCAAGCCAATGTAGGTGAGCCTCATAAAGCCATGCCCTTGCTCAATCACCCGGATCAGCTCGGCCGCCTGATCCAATATCGGCATTCCACATTCATATATTTTGAGGCATTCCAGGCTCTCGGGGAGACAGTCGGCAATCTTGGGGGCACCTTTTACCCTCACGGGCATGTTAGGGGCGGGTGGATTAGGAGTGTCAGGGTCGCACACGAGCATTCCAGTAAGGGCTTGCATGCCAATCTCAAGCCTCTTCAGCATGCACATTTGACGAAGCCCCATCCCCATGTATAGTCGCTCGGGGCAACCGACCCATTTCCATTCTTTATCCCAAGTCTCCTCCATATTCAGATAGAGAGACTCGAACGTGCTAGCGTGAGGCAAGATAGCGTCCATGACATCTCGAGGCATCATCAGACATGGAGTACCTAGCTCACGATTGAGCGGAAAATGAGTAAATTCGAACTTTCTAAGTGCTTTACAAGCACCTAGCATGCCATCAAGTGTGTCCTTATTGATATAAGAAGCGTGAAGGATGATCTCTTCAACCGACGATGACGCACGTGGCAGGCGTTCAAACCTCCCTTCTACGTTGGACCACACATGGGCCAGAATGCATTCGTAATACCGAAGCCGAGGGAAGGTGAAGAACTCCGGTGCCTCCATCCCGAATTCGGAGTAGCCATGCTTGTAGTCCATGGTTTCATGAAAGACATCTTGGAGATTGGAGAGTGGGATAATCATTTTAGAATGATCATGGGTACGAATGGACGCGTTGATCTCAGTCAAGTTGTGGACTAAACTTAGTAGATGAGTGAAATGCCTTGGTTGGTCAGGCATCTCATATAAGAGTGTGTGGATGTTCGGGCAGGCGAGTAGGATCAGAGCAGCCTGAGCATCAGAAGTGCCACTTTTGAGATCTTCTACCCACTCAGCGGTCCATCTCTCAGTATACCCAGAAGGTAGCTGACCTAAGATGAACTCGATATGTTGTTGATAAATGGCAGTTTCTTCCTCGGTGATTGAAGCCTGGCTAGGTCTTTCTTCCTTATCATTGCCTTCTCCATCTCGTGACGAGATGCGTCCAAACACAACAGTTCTGACGTCTTTGGCCAGCCAAGGCTTGGAAACAAGAATGTAGCGCAGGAACTGTATATTACGAGTAGTAGAACAGGGACCCTGCCCCTCGGTTTGGTTTATCGTATTCCGAAAGATAGATACGGAGATCGGAAGTGCCACCTCGTAGAGTTGCTTGCAGGTCCTCAGAACCTCTTGAATGGTTGACTTGCCCCAGGACACAGCAAGATGTAAAAAGATCTTGGTCTGGAGCTCAGGTGGCAGGGTCAATAGAGTCGTGCGATTTGACCGCACCTGCCCTTGTTGCTCCTTGATGGATGCAGAAGGTGATATGTGAGGTGACAGCGCTGCAGATTGTATGCGATCCATTCCGGGAGGTGTTACTCAATTTGTGGCGGCTGATAACGGCAATGTTGTGAAGTCTTTCGGTTATGAACAATCACTTCGTCGATGTTATATTACAAGTGGACTGGCGGTCTGCTTAGCCTGGTGCGTTGGTCCTGTTGTTGGTCAGCCTGCATATTAGTGGAGGCTACGGTTGGATTCTGCACGAACAAAATTATTGGCACAGCTCATACTTTAATCCAGAATGCCGTATTCTGTTCGAGTAGACAGTTGTTCAACATGTTGGTAAGCTCGAGCGAACGGGTGGAACTGTTACTATGTATGTTGGTTCTCGCCCCCCAATCCAGCGTTGATACCGCTCAACCGAGTATGACTGTTTTCAACTAGAACGAAAGGAGCTTCAAAACGGAATATAGCAAAGACGATGCCAAATGTTCAAAATGGGTCTAACATGAGCAGTAGTTGTCGGCTTGGAGTACGTTACATTTGATACTTACAGCTGTGGCAATTGAGGCTCACCTTAGGATTAGGAGGGGTGTGCTGATGATGAATATATTATAACACCATGCCGAGTAGAGAAACTAGGATATCTCCCCATTACGACGGGAATTCTTTGCTCTTTGTCAACCCCAAGAGAGAATAAACCCGTTATTTAGAGCTGGTCTCTGTCCTCTTCTCTGATCCTCTTACAGAGCTACACTAATAAGATAGTCCCGGAAGAATCTGGGGCAAGGAAAGAGCCCTAAAGAAGAGCTATTACTGCCGTCCCTTCTATCATGCAACTAAAGGGTCTTGCCATGATGTGTTATGGTTAAAACAGGCTCAGGTGCTCTTTACAACAATCATGAGGTACGACTCTACAGGTTTGATCCATAGGTAGGGGGCCACGAAAGTAAAAGAGGGCATGAAATAATATAGTCGTTTGTTTAGTCGCTTAATCAGGTAGCTAGATAGCTGACCATCGCTTCTGAAGCCCCTCTGGACGTAACATAAAGAGGGCTATGTGATATATGGGCAATACTAGTCAGCATCATGGGATCCAGTGAGTGGAGCGTTTACTGAGCCTTTAGAAATGGTCAATGTTCAAGAGTAGTGGGATAATTCATTGACTAGGGAGCCCCTTTAGCCATTCGAGTAGTAGCGAGAGCCGCCTGCTGGTTTAGTTGTATGCATTTTTCATGGCGTATATGTATGTGTATGTATTAATCTGCACTGATTAGGGTAGATGATGATCAGGATCAGTCCGGCAATTGAGGTGGCATTGATCGTCAGGGGCACGGGAGTGGCGCCAGAGCTTCAACGACAAAATCTGGAGGTGGCTGTGCAGAAAAGTTCCACCACAAATAAGCATCGCGATCAGCCGTCAGTAGTTTGTTTTTCACGATTTAATAATACTATGCGATAGCGATCGCGCTTTATTGAAGCAAAGAAAGTTTGTCCTTGCTGATAAAAAAGACCAAATGCTGTGGGCTTTCGACATTGAAAGGGCGTGCTGACCTTGCATTCCAATGCCGGCGATCGCATAACTCGACTTTCAAACTACAACATTGGTCACCTTTGTATTTGTGCTATTACAACATCGATCACGTATGAGCAAGGACAAGCAGTAGTACTTGGGTATCAAAACCGCACTGTTTATATCAAAGCTATTTCCACCATAGACTCCTTCAAAAATTAAAGACGGGTCTGAATACCAGACCCCGTCAGCGGAAGACTCGTCCTGTAAGAAAGCATAGACCTTGCCAAAAATTCCAAGCATTATACACAATTCATACCCAGCTTTCCCTCATTTTTAAATTGCTAAACCCAGTGAAAACGGAGCACTCAATTACAAAGCAAGGGCAGCGGCCACAGCGCCGAGAAGAGCGACGGAGGAGCCGAAGAGGGTAGCAGCAGCACCGGTCTCGCTGCTCTGGGAGCCGGAGGCGGTGGCGGTGGAGGAACCAGAGGCAGAAGCAGAGGCACCGGTGCCAGTGGCAGAGCTGCTGCCGCTGGTCTGGCTGGAGCCGGAAGCAGTGGTCTTGGAGCCACCGTTTGAGGCAGAGTTGGGGGTGCCACCGTTCTTGTCGTTGTAGTAGAAATCGGAGATGCACTTGTTCTGGCAGGTGGTGTAGTTGGTGATGTCGGTCTCGGTGCCGTTGCCCTGGTCACACTTGGAGACACACTCGACGGTCTTGTTGGCCTGGTCGTCGCTGGGGTTGGGGACCTGTTGGGTTGATTGTTAGCATTCTCATCTTCCTAGCGGCCAACTGGATACGGCGCCACATACAGGGTTGCACTTGGCCAGGCAGGCGACGTCGGTCTGGTCGCAGGCGTTGTAGCAAGCGGCGACAGAGGACTGCTCGGGGGTGAGCGAGTAGGTGCTGGTGGGAGTGTCGACAGTGGTGGAGGAGCTGGACTGGGCAGGGACGACAGCGACGAGAGCGCCAACGAGGATGGAGGTAGAGAAACGCATGGTGATTGATTGCTGAAGAGCTTAAGGAGAACCTTTAATTAGAAGTATTAAGAGTGAAGATAAATATTGGCAGTGATAATAGCGAGAGACGTTGAAGCAAACGATGGACGGTTGTGCGTAGGAAAGAGAAGAGAGGCGGCACGCGACGGGGGCCTTGACGGCATTTTAATAACAATCTCAAGCAGCCAAGGCCGGCCTGGTGCCCGTCTGGTCATGAGAGACAAGGCGAGGTACCAGGTACGAGCTCAATTGCCCAAGAGGTGGCCCTGGCGAGTTATGAAGACGTTAATGCAGCATGACTCCAGTTATGCTCGTATTTTGCGGCCGGTTGCCCAAGACCGCCTAGTGCCGCTCTAATTATGCAGATCGGCCCTTGTAGCATCTGGGGAAACGGCTGAGTCCAATTTCCATCCACAAGGCACGATCCAGCTGGCAATTTTTTCTTTACGGTCTTCTGAGTCTGGCACTGGCCTGAGCTCCCAGGCCTGCATGAGCCGTCAGGGTATTACACCCGTTTGCTGTGTCTGGTTGACCGCCAGCAGGCCATCTGTCTGCTAATCCTCGTCCTGACGCAACTCTCACCTTGCCCCTTTCCTGTTCCCCGAGGCAGGAATCCTGGCTATCATTAGCAGCAAGTGCCACCTCCCAACACCCTGTCTGTGCGATGTAATGAGTCCAGAGTGGTGTGAAGCGCGGGTGGTTGCTCCGAGCGAGACCAACTAAGTTGTCTTCAAGGCAACGGCCCTTTTCTGATTGGCCACGCGATGTTTCAGGGGGCCGACGCGGAAACAGAGCAAATCAAATACATGGCACAAAAACAAAACAAAACAAAGAATACCTGCAATTGCTTGCCGGAGCGACCTGCAAATGGATGAAATGCCTGACCACATCCATCGCCGAATTGTGCAAAAGTGCAAGGCCCGGCAGTTCTGAGCTGTTCCTGGGGCGCCCGAGGTACCGTCTACTTTGCAAGGTCCTGGGCATGAGCATGGGCATGGATGGGAATGGACTTCCGGCAAAGGCTATCTGCTGGCTTCTCCAGAAGGTGAAAATTGAAATGAGACCGGGGCTACCCGCATGATGGCTTCCTAGTTAATTTACCCATGGCCAGCTTATTTCACGGCCTGAACCGGGCCACAGCTCCTGGCCCCAGCGCCATCGACGATGCCACCACCAGAGTTTAGCACGGACGGAGGCGACGATGGAGCAAGGAGGCCCGTGGAATCGCCCCAGAGCCACTTATTCTTAGCTCCTGTGATGGAGCGATTTAAAGAGAGCTTGGTGGTGTTCCTGTGCTAATGGGGGCCATTTGCTTGGCGCGTCTCACGAGTGTGACGCTCGGCGTGGCCTGAATACGAGCTCTCCCAGTCCGGATTGCCACTTGAGCTGCCACCGGACGATTTCTGCCTTGGTTTGCTCCACCCCTTTTACAGGTGGTTCCATTCATTATGCTCCCATTTCATGTGACGCTGGCCCTGCCTACTTTCAGGGCAACGGCGCCTAATCTCTGCAAACTGGGCAAGCGTCAAGCCTCAACTGAGCTTGCGCCCATCACAGCTAAGAATCCCCCAGCGGTATTAAGAACCTGATCGAGATCAGGTAACGGGCCAATTGCTCTCCTCTTCGCCGCAGCTGTAACCGCCTGACGCCGCGTTTCAATTTTCAGGCCGCAAATGAATGCAGGAACACTTGATCCTTGTAGACTAGCCTGCTGCTGAATCACCAGAAGTGCTATTGTGATTGGCGCCATCCCCTACTCTGCATTCAACTTCAGCCTATGGGACGGCTGCACAGTTACGGTGTTAGCTAGTATGCATTGCAGCTGCAGAAGCAATTTCATTTCAGCAGATGAATGTATGACAGGTCGCTAAAAATTGGAATCTGCTGTGTACGGGCAGGCCGCTCAGGGCAGCGAGTCGTGCTGTCAAGCGTACCATTTCGACCTGATGATCGTGCTGGTTGGGTATAGGTTTGTGTTTCAGGTCCAGACTACCATGGAAATCCCTTCAACGGTGCTTTGTTTGAGCTGCTAAAACAACTGTGCAAGGTACGGGGCGTCATTAATATCTTACATCTGATCTTTAGCTCGTTTTATTGATCTAGATGTATCGAGCTAGTAGTTGAGCCGTCATTAGAGTTGGTTCAAGGAGCCACATTGCGCTTCTTAATAAGCAGCTTCTCTGAGCAGTCCCATTGGTTGCGCCTGAGCAGTCTTATCGGTTGATAATCTCTATATCAGACCTTGCAAGACAAGAAATTTAGAAAAGATTGCTTGAATGCGAGGGGATCAAAAAGGCTACGAAATGAATTGACTCAATAATGGAACCACTTCCTACAATGGTTGCAGGAAGCTCTGTCTTGGGATAGACAGAAGATCCCAAATGTTCAATTGGCACGTTGAGATTACTGCTCTCTTATTTGCTTTCTAGTTGAGGCCTAATAGAAAAGAGAATGACGTTAGCGGGGTAGTTTGTTGAGCTGTAAAGCTCAACCCCGCCAGGAGGTATCAAAAGTCTCAAAGACGTGCTACTGATATTGGTAGTAGGCGGCTTCATTTCGATCACATCCATACTTCGGGTATCCTAATACGCGCCTAACTCTTCTAACACGTGTATCGAGACAGTCGGAACAGAGCAACTTCTCAAAGAAATTGCCAAACCAGTCCCTCGACGAGCAATTGCACAATGGCCGCCGATAAGATTGAGAACCCCGACCAGCTGGTCGTCTCCGACGATCCAAACCATCCCGCCAACCTCATCCCATCACTCTGCGCCAAATTCTGGACACTGGGTTGGGTCACTGGCACAGGAGGAGGCTGCTCCATCCGCGACGAGTAGGTCCTTTCCCTGTTCATGCTCGCAACGACATCACCTCTAGAAATGCCGTTTACTTTGTATGGAGCCTGTGCTAAGATTGCTTGAACTGCCTCTTCTTAGTGATCTTGTCTATCTCGCCCCCTCGGGCGTACAGAAGGAGCTCATGAAGCCCGCCGACATCTACGTCCTCTCCCTCGCCGCCCAGGAGCCCACCTTCAAGCAGCGTACCTACATCCGATCGCCCCCAATCTACAAGCCCTCTCAGTGCACCCCTCTCTTCCTCGCCGCGTTCACCCGCCGCGGCGCCGGCTGCTGCATCCACACCCACTCCCAATGGGCCGTTCTCGTCACCCTGCTCCTCGAGTCCCAGGGCCCCGGCAACGACAAGGTCTTCGAGATCAACAACATCGAGCAGATCAAGGGCTTCGGCAAGGGCATGAACAAGACGGGAAACCTGGGCTACCATGACACGCTCCGCATCCCCGTCATCGAGAACACGCCCCACGAGGAGGACTTGACCGAGTTCCTCGAGGAGGCTATGGAGAAGTACCCAGACACCTACGCTGTGCTGGTTAGACGTCACGGCGTCTATGTCTGGGGCGACAACGTCCACAAGGCCAAGACCCAGTGTGAAAGGTAAACAGCCGCACCTCTCCTCTGACCTCGCATCTTCTATTTCGTCCTTTGTACGTCTCTTTCTGTTGACGACTGAGCTGACATGCATGAAATGTAGCTTGGACTACCTTTTCCAGCTTGCTGTAGAGATGAAGAAGCTTGGAATCCCATGGATCAGCAACGTGACACCAGTTGGGCCACAGCGATAACAAGAGACACGTCTCAGTCAGATAAATGTGTGTTTGGGCGCTCGTTTGGTGTTGGTAGGTGGGAAGTAGGTGAAACTTATGCGCGTAGTTGAATGTGCTGGGATGCAAGCTTTGAAAAGCGTAGTTTGCCTTATAATTGGATTGCCATATTACTTGACTCTCAAACTTAAAGCTCATCCCGTTCCCTCGTGTACTCTTCCACTACGTCGTCTTCATCCTCATCCTCGTCGTCCTCGTCGTCATCCTCGTCTTCATCGTCATCGTCAACCTCTTCGTCATTTTCGGTTTCGACGACCTTCTCAACGACCTCCTCTCGAACCACATCTGCTGAACCTGTATCTTCTTTTGGAATGGAGCCCAACTCATCGGCCTCCTTGACTGAGTCAACCACTTTCTGCACCTCCTCCATCACCGAGTCGGTGTCTTGTTTGGCAGGCTCTGAGGGTTTCTCCTCAACCTTTGCCGTAGGCAGCTCATCACCCGGGATGCCATCCACAGTCACTTTATGCTCCCCAGTAAAAGTTTCCACTTTCCCAGACTCGCCAACACTCCTCCGACCTTGTAACGCCGTACTCCCAACGGTGGATCCAACACCCAGCAGAAACCTCAGCGGCAGCCAGACCAACCACCACATAGGCCCGTAGAGGAAGCGCCTAAACACCAACCAAGCCCCGACAATAAGAAGCATGTAGAACGTAGTGATGAGGTACCACGTGTCGCTCTTCTGCGACTTCATGAGCGTGCCCAGCAGATCCTTCGAACTCGCCAGCATGACCTCCAGCGAGCTGTACGACTCGTTGAGCTGCTGGAACGCCGCCGACGACTCCTTCATCGTCTGGTGCGCGTAGTCGCTCCGCTCCAGCTCGGCCTGCAGCGAGGCGTGCATCTGCCGCAGCGCGTCCGTCGCCCGGCTGCTCGCCCCCACCGCCTGCTTGTCCTTCTCGGACAGGCTGCTCGTCTGCTGGGCCCGCTGGTTATATCGGGAGAACTGGTGCTGGAAGGGCGGTGGCGCATCCTTCTCGTCTATCGCATCGGGCGACGCCGCCTCAGAGACGGGGACGGAGTAGGACTTGACCATGAGCTCCCGCTCTAGTCGCTGCGCCTGGACGAGGCTCTTCTTCGCTGCGAGCCGGGCTTTCCTGAAGCCAATTCGACAGCTGTAACCAGATAAACCGTCAGCTGGGCCTCCTTCTTAAGATTCTTTCCTCAGAACAATGTAGCGATGAGAAAGGCGATGTTTACCTTTCCAGTTCCTTGCCTTGCCTCTCCACCCCTTGTTGTAGTCTGGTCCGTCCTCCCTCCTCATCGTCCTTTAGAAATTCGACTTCCTCCAGTAGAAGCTCCTGGTCGTCGTCGCCCTCCCTCAGCAGCTGGCTGATCTCCGCGCTCAGCTCGCCGCTCACGCTGCCCTCCTCGTTGGTGTCGAGCGGCACCGAGCCGGGCTGGAACTTGAGATACGTCAGTCGATCGATCAGCTCCCGCAGCTGCGACGTGGTCTCCTGCAGAGCGGACAACCGCTCCTGTAAACTCTCAAAAGACATTTTAATATAAATTAATTCCCAGTATTATTTCCCAAGTGTCAAAATCACCGCATTTCTTCTATAGGGGAGGGAAATAGAAAGTTAACAACCGTGGAAGTTGCCATGCTGGCCCATCCCCGGCAACTATGATGGCATTGGCGACTCCAAGAAAAAAACGGGGCTATTCTTATATCGAGTTTTCCAACACCCGAAATTCTCCAATGCCGCCAAAGAACATCGCAGACCACCACGACAAGTCCGCCAGCGCCAATTGAAGTCACGGAAGCCTGCAGTTATTCGTCCTCTCCGCCCGCCAAAATGCTGACCAAGTACCTCACCGAGGTCACCGCCAAATTCAACCCCTTCTCCGCCTGCGCCAAGCCCGCACGGCTCTTCCTCACATACCTCCCGCCAAATGCCCGCGCGAGCGGGATGAAGATCAACACAACGCTGCTGCCGAGGACGTCGGCCGAGAAGAGCTCCCTCCTCGTCAAATTCAGTACGATTTTTCTCTCTCTTGCGAGCTCTGGAGGATCTCAACGGTTTTACTAACATGGCTACAGAGGATGGCAAGGAGCTCAAGTTCGAGACCGACAAGATCAACATCAAGGGTGTGGTGGGCGAGTGCGACAGACACTCACGACAATTACAAAAGGCAGACGATTTGATGGATTAAGCGATGCTTATAATCATGTACTTGCATTTACGGCGTTTCTTTTCTAGAGGTGGAATTGCAGATCGTCGGCATGACCTTGTATAGAAGGCGATATGATATACACCATGTACAACAAGAGGTTTTGTGGAAGATTTCTTTTGAGTCATGTATTACTATGTGGTGGTCTATATGAAAAATGCCATGATTTTTCTACATTGGTCAAATACTCCAACCCGCCACACTGCCTTTTTTTTGGGTGGTGAACATCAGATGCTTAGTTGGCAGCACCGCTGATGAAGAACCACTTGTCAATGGAGCTGTCAATCTTCTCGGGCTGGAGATCCTGGTGAGGAGGAAGAGCAGGGACTTGGTTGGCAGGAATGAAACCGGTGGAGCGTTGAACGGTGGTGTTGCCACTATATTAAAGTTAGTTGAATGGCTTCGCGTGTTAGTTTACTCGAGGACATACATAGAAACACCGTTGGCGGCGGTCTTGCCAGTGACCAGGCGCTCCCAGGCCTCACCGCACTCACGGACGACGTCGAGGGCGTAGCTAGAGGGGAGAAGAAAGGTCAGTCAAATGCTCCATAGGTCAACCTTGTAAAGTCATAACATACTCCTTGTTCTTGCATTCGCCAGTGAAGGCGAACTGGTTCTCGGGCTTGCCGTCAGGGATCTTGTAGATACGGAACCACTCGTTGGTGGCACGGAGGAGGCCAGGGAGGTGGCGCTCGACATCCTCAATGTCGTTGAGCTTGGGAGCGAGAGGGTCGTTGATGTCAATTACGATGACCTTCCAGTCGGTCTCCTCCTCGTCGATGAGAGCCATGACACCGAGGACCTTGACCTGCTTGACCTGGCCAGGGTAGCCGACAAGCTCGCCGATCTCGCAAACGTCAAGAGGGTCGTTGTCACCCTTGGCCTTGGTCTCGGGGTGGACGCTGTTGGGGTCTTCCCAGGTCTATTGCGTGTCAGATCTTGGATCCCAAGAGCCAATGCCCCGGCGTGGAGTATGGAGGATGGACATTGTTTCATACCTGGGGGAAGGCACCGTAGTTCCAGAGGTAGCCCTTGTGGGGGAAGCAGTTGCGGACGAATCGAAGCTTGCCCTTCTTCACATCCTGCTTGATGGGGTTGAAAAGCTCCTCCTTGGAGATCTAGAAACGTGAAAATGGAGGTTAGCAAGGTGGTTGCTGTGCCAGTGGTGGCGGTGATTTGGACGCCAGCAATGCCTCTCTATGAGCGTGTAGAAGGGGGCGGGAATGAATTGAGCCCCATTGGGTATCAAGGCTAGGGTCGGTGAAGAGCATACCTCGAGCTTGCCATTGGTCCAGCGAGGAATCTCAACGACCATGTTGAGAATGTTCTGCTCCTTGTTGGCGTACAGAGGGATATCGTGGAAAGGGGAGACCGGAATGCCATCCTTTTCAATGTAAACACGGTGCTCGAGGGTGTTGGCAGGAGCCACCTTGCGAAGGGTGTACTCGGACATTGTGTTGGGATTTTTAGCGACAGTGGGGGACTGGCTTTGGGATGAGGAGGGAGATGCACTCGATAGGTGACGAGCTATCTGAGAAGTCCTTTGGGAGGAAATTTTGGAGGAGAGTGCAGAGGGGTTTGTAGAAGTTGATGGAGGGGGCGGGGTCATTTCTGTCCTTGCGTGTCCTGGACCCAGTGTTGTACGCCCATGATGGGAGCTAAAAGCCATGGCAACAGCACCGCCGACACCAGCTGGAGGCGTCCGACTAGCGTTGGCACAGACGCCGCTGGGGCTGCGACTGGGGCTGCTGATACGTGCTGTTGGACGTACAGCAGATGCGCTGCGGGTGGTGTGTCGCTGGGCGTGACAGAGCGTGTGATTGGCTCGCTGTGTTGTGAGAGAGCACACAGAGAGTGGCCACCGCCTAGTTGCCGCCAATGCCTGACCGAAGCCCATGGAAAACGAGCGGCGGCCGCAGGGAGAACGGAAGGATTCTATAGCAAGCGGAAGGGATGCTTACGATAATACAAAGCTACGGCACGGGGTCCTGCAGCATCAGATTCGGCTCGAAGTTGGCCAGTCCCGAGGTAACTCTCGCGTGCTCACACTCAACGGCGAGAGATAAAAAAACGAGCCGACAGGGGTCGGCTTAAGGGAAAAGGGGCCCAGCCGGCCGGAGCCTAGGCCTAACAGCGCTGTGGGTTGCACTCTACCGGGGCACTACTGCCGATGGGTAACACTCCGTGCAAGCCTTCATCATGTGCCGCGATATTATACAGGGCTTCCGATCAACCAAACATACCCGCCTTTCGAACCGGTTTGCATGATTTGTGTTCTGAAATCTGGTTCGTTCGTTTGAACTGTCGTTTGGATTCCTTGTTTGACGAAATAACCTTATATTCAACGTCAAACAGCTTTCTGAAGAGGCGCGAATGTGCTATTTGAATGTTTTAGACTGACCACGTGCTGCAACTGAAGACGCTGCCAGGCCCCTTCTCAGCGCGCTGCAGGGGCTCGAAGAAGGTGGTCATGAAAAAGCTTGTCTTTCGCTGGACGAGTCGTAAGCTCGTTCCTCACCTCCTGCAGAGGTTGCGATCGGAATCCAGGAGATATCCTTCAGGAACCTCTCCCCAAATAGGAAATACCGATTTGAAACATGCATATCAAACCCAGCAAACAAATTCACCTGGAGTTTGGTTTGTTAGATTTGATAAGCTTTCCCGTTTGATTTGGGGTTGGGTTGATTTATTTGATATGGGGGTTCAGCTGGAAGAAGACCTGCTGCCGATCAACTCCTCGCAAGCAGTTCGCATGTACTGTGCCCGAAACGCCATTTGCTGTGATTACAAGTTGCATATACATCCATTCGTTTTGAGGACATGCCCCCACCCGTTGACCACCTGTACAGAGCTAATGCACTTAATGGTATTCGCTCGTATGTCGCTTAAATGGAATGGCCGCATATTACGCCACGCTTTACCTTGGTCTCGGGCCAATTGTTATCCGGTTTGTTCTCCTGTCTTACGCTTGCCCCTGGCTCCAGCGGTGTAGAACAGCTTGATAACCACGGCACGCGACTGTTTGCTCAATAAGTTGAGATTCCATATTAATTCGGTACCTAGGAACTAGAAGGATACTCATTAATTTCCGAGATAACCTATCACTATCCTGCACATTTCCAGCGAGGACGAGCTGTGTCGTGGCCTGCATTGGTATGTTCTGGGCTACAGATATACATGCACAAATGCTCGGACCCCTTAGCACACGACGTTTCATCAAATTAAAAAACAAAGTAGCTCGCAACTAGTCACGCGTAATCATTACAATTCCTCTCCAACGCTCGACTTAGCCAGCGACTTCAGTGGTTCTGGAACTTTCGGCAATGGCTGGTGCCCTGGTCTCAGTCTGAACGGATTCAGCATCCCCCACCTCAGATTCCTTGGACTTCCCCTTGACGGAGGCTGAGGTCGGGCTCTGCATGGGAGGTGTAGCGAAACCACCCTCCGGCTCCGGCTGCCAATCTCGGAGGTCGTCTTCAGCGTCATTGAGAATTTGTCGAGCCTGCGCTGCATCACTATAAGCTACCCTGACGTCTCCAGGTACCACAGGTGAGTCGTCGAGAAGGGTCAGAAGGCGGCGTCCATGCTTGGCCAAAATGATTTGCTTCTCGGCACGTTCAATGGTGGCCGCGAATTCAGCAGCGTATGCTTCCTTGAGTTTTTGGCGGGTCTGTCGACGTTCACTTTGATTAGTCGATCTGGCGATGCTTGTTGTAGCAGTTCCCATGTCTTAGACTCACAATATTTGTCAACTGTGCCTCGGCGACCAGGTTCTCTGCCTCAGCCCTAATAAGTTCTTGCTCCAGCACAACCAGGCGCGGACTCTCCGGCTCCTTCAGCTTCAGCTTTTGAATCTCGTCGGCGACTTTCGACTTGCCGTCACGGCTAGGCTGAACACTCTTCTCTGTATTGCGAATCGTTTTGAGAATTCCTCGCGAGTCATCAAGTGCATGAGCGTAGGTGTCTTCCTGCTCACCCATCTCGCTCAAGATGACACCGATCTTGTCCGAGATATCGTTGATAGCATCGTCGCCAGTGTGCTCGCCCCATTCTGAGAGCTGCTGGGCGATGGACACCCGTTCGCGACCGGCTGCTTCATGGGCGGATACTAGGTTGTTTTCCGACTTGATGAGCTTGAACAGCTTTCGGGACAATTCTGGCTGGACTGTGCCTCGAAGGGAGCTAAATGAGAGGCCTGGCTTGCCGGTAGTCGATGACCCCGAGCCTCTGGCTGAATTCCTGGATCGGAAAGAAAGCGTTCGACTCCTGGAATGGACGGAGAGGTTAGCGACGCTGTCGGATGACCCAAACCGCCTATGACCCGAGACATATTGGGAAAAGGAGCTTTCGAAGCTGGAGCGAGACATGTTTCATTGAATTGGAGTGTTCTTCGAGCTAGGGAACAGTCCTCGGGACAGAAAATGAAAGAAAAGAGAAAAAAAGGCAAGGCCTTGGTGACAGCCACGAGCTTACATGGTTGAGAGTAGATTGAGTGGACAGATTTAAATGCAATATTGGTTATACTATATAGCGCCTGCCTTGTTCGAAGAAGTATATGTTAGCATAATGATATGTGAGGTAGGCACGACGAGGAACAAGAAGTAGGTGCGCGATGCTTTTGAGCCAAACAGCCGAGGTTCGCACGCCTTGATAGCTTCAGCTCGTCACTGATGGAACATACAAATAAAAGATCGCAAGCGGCGGTTGAAATCAATTATTAATTATAAAAATTGGGTGAATTTTGCTGATTGAATCGGTTGGCACCCTGTCGAGATCTGAGGATCCGAGCAAGGATACAGGCCTCTTTTTATTTTCACCCGTCTGGGCCGAAGTGCGTCTCCAATGGTTCACGAAGTTTATCATTGTTGTCGTCATCATGTCCGCTATCTGCCTAGCCTTGGCTCTATATCGTCTAATGGGATGTTGACGAATGCCACATTCGAACATCTGGCGAACTGGTGGTCTGAGACAGAGAATGACATAAACGGATGGAGGGGGCGTGATGATGTCACTGGGCTCGCTGCAGCTGAAGTCGCTGCTCCACCCTGCCGATGAGCATCCGATGACCTCAATCAGGTCCCGCGATGGCTCAGTCGTCATTCTCTGATGGGGGCCAAAAAGATCATAATTTGACAGCTTATCAATTATTCACATGGGGTGGAAAATTTCAACATTATTGTTCTCGTAGTTGCACACGCTGCATCGAAACAATTATCATTAAGCTCGTCTCTCAAGTCGTCTATTCATCAAGCGTCCAATAACAAAAGGAAACCCGTGCGCCAATCAAATTGCCGGCCACACCCGCTTATTGCCCATGTGAATCATCCCTCTCAGAAACGCCGCCCCCCGAATAAGGATACACTGTAGTAGTTGCGATCGCAGGATCTATGTATACACCCGATAGCTGCTGTTCGGGGGAGAGTGAGAGTGAGAGTGGTATGATCGTCTCTTCACACTCGTGTAGCTTGATCGGGGCGAGTGGTGGTGGTGGTGGCCATGGTGGTGATGGTGCCCATGCTCGGTGTAGTAGCGAGGTCGTGCAGGAATGATTTCCTCGTGGTAGTAATATGTTGTTCTAGGCTCACGAAAACACATCTTGTCGTACAGAGATCTTGAAGTCTAAGTTTGAGTGTAGCGAATGCGAAAAAGAGGCTTTGTGTATTGCAATTGCTAAACGTTTATGCAAATGGCAGAAATGAGGATAGATTAGATTGGTGTGTATGTTTGAATTTGACCGGAAGGCGAGAGGATCAGGGCATCTTATAGAAGAGCGAAACAAAGAAACAAGGCGCAGACAGATTTAGCATTGACCAGCTGATGTGGAATTATGGATCCCGAGCCCAGCTTGCATCAGAAGTCACCCTCTATTGTCAGGAGGATTCTAAGTGGTAGTTCGGACAGGGCGTCCGCAGTCGTCATTGAGGGTCGGCAGCCGACGGCGGACCCCTGTCCACTGATGGCCTCGACTCTAGTTACGACCTGGAAACCTGCCGGATTCCCTACCATCTACTGATGATCCACACCCTCACATGTCGTATAACATGGACCCTATGAGCGTGTAGTAATGCGCGACTGGGCTGGATAGAAATATGGCCTTCAAAGCAATTGCACAGTTCACCTGGCAGAGATGATAAAGAGACATATACAAGAGTTTATATGCGTACATTAAGTAGGCACTGTCATGAAACCCCTCGCTTCTATAAAACTGGAAAAATTGCCTGCTGGTCGTGTTGTTACATATTTTTTATCAGAGGAAGATCACCATGCAACCATCTGACGTCGTTCTTATTCCTCCCACGGGGTAGCGTCTTTCGTATTTTTTTTTCTATTTCTGACCAAATCCAACCTCGACCTTGCCGATAGCCCAAGCGGCAGCATATACCGTGAGGAAACTAGCGAAAATGACAAGAGGCTTTCGTAGAGTCATTGCGGAGGGAACCTCATAATAGATAATGAGATCACGGTCCTTGAATTCATCCACAAGGTTGCGGGCCTTGATCGTGACTGCGGTGCGGCCGATAGTATCAAGATAAGTCTTGTGCACGTCGACCGTAGTCTCAACGATGGAGGATTCAGGGACATCGGCGAGAAGCTTAACGTTTCTGTCGGTTGGTTAGTATCTGAGATTGAGTAAAGAATGGGGCAAGAGATTGACATACTCGGCGCCTTCTGGCAAGAGAACCCTGACATTGATGTTCTCGTATTCGACACCCTCGGCCTGCTTAGGGCCCTCAAGGAATGGTGCCTTGAAGACAAACCCACCAGTGGCAGTTTTCCTCACAAAGTTGGCCGCGTTCGAGTTCCAACCGATGGTAAAGGGGTACTTCCAGCCTCCGAAGATGGGGTATCTCGGCTTTAGCTCGAGAAGAGCTTCGCGCTTGTTGCTCCTGAATCTCGAGGTGGACACATTTCCGATCGTGTCTGTGAAGTACGTGTCGACACTTCCAACCTGCAGGGGGAAACGCATCTCCTTAAGGGCGTGGCTCGCTGGGTTGAAATATTGGGATTGAGCCCACTTGACTCGGTTGAATTGGCTGGAAAGGTTTGCGCCTTGGTGGTGCAGGACGTATCGCTCCTCGAATGCGACGTTACCGCCCCAGTGACTGACTTCAATATCGCGCTCAAGCTCGGAGATGTGAGTAACGGGCTTGTTGAACTCGAAGCGGACTGAAGCTGGCAGAGTTGCCCCAGCGGGCTTCTCGCCGAACGGACCGTAGGTCAGCTTGGATCCCTGCTTCTGGGGGAATTCGGCAACATCTCCATTGCCTTCAACCTTGGTGAAATCGGGAATCGTTGCAGAGGCGGCCTTGACTTCTGTCTTTTGCTTCAGGGTTGGGTAGGCAGACTGGGCATAGGGCGAGAACTCGTAGCTAAGATATTGAGTAGCTTCTTGTGGGATCGATGCTGGAAGAGGTCTGTAGGCGCTGAGATAGTAGAAAGTGATTCCAAGGGTTTGTTGGCCGCCAGACTTGAGGGGGGCGGGCAGTCGAATTCGATAGTACTGAGTCGAGCTGTGCGCATACTCAGTTAGCATGATTTGATGAGGGGAGAGAGAACAGAGGTTCAATTGAGGGACTGAGGAAGTGTATCATACCTTGCTGAATCATAATTCACAACGTCCACCGTGAAGGGTCCAGCGCCGCTATCCTTTCTGTCCTTGACTTCGAAGCCTCCGACTCGCTTCAGCTGGTCTGCGGTGAAGGGTAGGAAATAATCCTCCTGAGGTTCCGCAGCAGTGTTCTCGATCAAAACATTGACTTGCTCCTTAACATAGTTTTTCTCGAGGGAGATGATATGTACCAAGTTGGCGTTCTTGAAGACTTGGGGCGGCTTGAAATCAGCAGGTAGCTTCACTGTCGATTGCTGCGAGCTTGCAAAGGCGCTGCAAACAAGGCCCAAAAGCGCCGTTGCGATGGTAGAGGGCTTCATATTTCCGAGCGAACGAGGGCAGCGCTCATTGACGAGATGCGCTGTGTACAGGTGGGAGAAAGCTCAAGGAGAGGCTTCGTGCATCAAGTAGGATTCCGCTAATGGGGAGCTCTTTGAGGCACCCGACACGTTGCCCATATGGCGTTGACTCCCAAATGTGGACTAGTCCGGTGTCGAGCTCACGTACCACAGACAGCGGTCTTATCGATAAGACGCGTCTCGGGTGTGATGGGAACGCTGGAAAGTTCAAAGGGAACAATTTTGGGACGGATTAGTTGTTTCTAGCTGGGGAATATCTGATCTCGTTGATTCGCTCAGTTTAACCGTTGTGTAATATATCTTTGATTAGGAGTATGTAAATTTAAATGGTAAGATGCCTCTTATCACCACCCGGCCGACAGCCTCGTGCATTGGGGCCATTCGAAAGGGGTGTGGGGGATCCACATCCAAGTATTACGTAGGTACTACTCAGCAGACAAAATCACATACTGACCCGGCCAAACTGTCGTAAACGCAGTGTAGTCTTAGATGGAGGTAACGTTAGAGTAGCACCCTGGAGTTCATTGGCTCTACATTCCAATTCACTGGAGAAAACGCGTTGAGACTAACCCACAAGCAACTGCATAGAGCGCTGGCGGCAGCACTGGAATTAGTTGAGATAGGTACCTGCTCCCATGTACTATCGAGACTCTTGATGCTCTTGGTAAAATGGCAGTAGCTGGCCTATGACAGCGCCCCCATTGGCTGCAAGCGGCCCCATCCACGTAATAGTGACCAAGAGCTTTCCAATTGTTCCTGACTTGGAAAACCCGCCTCTTGAGCAGGCACCTTACCCACCTGAGCTACTGCCATATAACCTGTGAGCTTCAGCTCTAGGAGAATATTTTGTTGGGCGCCTCCAGCTGGACCAGATAAGCTCCTACAATCCTAATACACCGCTCACATTGCTCACCCCGAGCATCATCTTTCATTCTCATTCTCCTCGCGTGGTTACACTATCTGCGCGTGTTCTCCCACAAAAATCTACCCCGCTGTACCCCGCGATCCGCAACAACTTATCACCATGGTTGGCCTGGGTCCTCGCCCTCCTCCCTCTAGAAAGGGTAAGTTGATGACAAGCTGAAGTTTTTTCTTTTACCCTTGTAGCTCTTATCCTCATCTTTGCTTTGCCGCAATTGATGTTCTGTGACGTGCCAAGGATGTGAATTTGCCAAGGCTCACCTGATCTTCTGAAAGGAGACGGTGAGGGGGCTTGCTTTTTACACACGATGGCAATCGCGGACCACAATAAGCCCGCATGTCATATGAACATGACGGATTCATTGCCTCCGCAATTCGCCAAAGACTCTAAGAGCCGCTTGTGAACGAGCATTTCGTGTCACGAATGTTTGCCACCTCGTTAAGCTACAGATTCATCCGCCTTGACACCCTCTTTGCCGAATTCTCCAAGTGAGACAGAAGTGAGAGGAGCGACGGGCCCCGTGCCTCAAAAGAGCATTTCCTCCCGCACATGCCATCGGATTTCTTTAACAATTCAAACAAGCAATGTTTGCCTAGACAACTAGCTGACGGCTCAACATGACAGGTTCCAAGGCGGAATTTCCCAAGGATCTCTTGGACCAGATCAAGTACATTGAGGAGCTTTTCACAGTTGAAACTCCAAAGCTCAAGGAGATTTCTGATCACTTTGTCAATGAGCTTGCCAAAGGTACGCTGGCTGGAGAACAACCCCGGCCGATTTTGAAAAAACTAACAGGGTTGGATTTAGGACTCAGCGTCGAGGGGGGGAGCATCGTAAGCTTTCGTTGTCTGCAAAATATTTGCGTAACCTAACAGTCTGGTACTAGCCAATGAACCCAACTTGGGTCATGTCCTACCCCGATGGACACGAGACGGGCACATTTTTGGCCCTCGACATGGGTGGCACGAATCTGAGAGTTTGCGAGATCACGCTGACAGATCAGAAATCGGAGTTTGATATCATTCAATCCAAGTACCGTATGCCCGATGAACTTAAGACGGGCAGCAGCGAAGAGCTTTGGGAATATATTGCCGACTGCTTGCATCAATTCGTCGAGACCCACCACGGCGACTGCAGCAAGCTCGACTCGATCCCTCTTGGATTCACCTTTTCGTATCCGGCTACCCAGAACTACATCGATGAGGGAATCCTTCAGCGATGGACCAAGGGCTTTGACATTTCCGGCGTCGAGGGCCACAATGTTGTACCCATGTTCGAGGCTGCTCTGGCTAAGCGAGTATGTTGACTGAAGCAAAAAAAGAACCATCACAAGGACAAAATTGACAAAAAGCAGGGTGTTCCCATCAAGCTGACTGCCTTGATCAATGACACCACTGGCACACTCATCGCCTCTGCTTACACCGATACGAAGATGAAGATTGGATGCATCTTCGGAACCGGCTGTAATGCCGCCTACATGGAGAACGCGGGCTCCATTCCCAAGCTCGCCCACATGAACCTCCCACCCGACACCCCGATGGCCATCAACTGTGAATGGGGAGCCTTTGATAACGAGCACAAGGTTCTGCCACGAACTCCATATGACCTCATCATTGACCGTGACTCCCCACGGCCCGGACAGCAAGCCTTCGAGAAGATGATTGCGGGATTGTACCTTGGAGAGATCTTCCGTCTTGTACTGGTAGACTTGCACGATAACAAAGATATCCATATCTTTGAAGGCCAAGACATTACCGCGCTCCGAAGACCTTACAGCCTGGATGCTTCATTCCTGTCGGCTGTTGAAGAGTGAGTTTCTCTTCACAATATCTCTCTATCCCAGACAACACTGTACCTCTAACATATAATGAAGGGACCCATTCGAGAATCTTCAGGAGACGTATGACAGTTTCGTCGCAAGGCTCAGCATCAAGTGTACTCTCCCGGAGCTTGAATTCATCCGCCGACTTGCTGAGTTGATTGGTACACGCGCTGCTCGTCTCTCTGCATGCGGCGTGGCTGCTGTATGCAAGAAGAAGGGATACCAGTCGTGCCACGTGGGTGCAGATGGCTCGGTGTTTAACAAATACCCCCATTTCAAGGCTCGTGGTGCTGTGGCCCTGCGGGAGATTCTCGACTGGCCTGCGAAATCGAACCCCAAGGAAGAAGATCCTGTCGAGATTCTCGCTGCCGAAGACGGTAGCGGTGTTGGTGCGGCACTCATTGCTGCCCTTACTCTCAAGCGAGTCAAGGAAGGCAACATGGCCGGTATCCTGCACCCCGAGAATTTCAAATAGACTGAGGTTTTCTTCCAATACGATGGCCCGGAATGTTAGGGATTCACGGACGAAAAACGATGTCATGAGATGAAAACCAAGACAGAAGATAAATAAAAGAAGAAGATAACAGAGCAAAGTTCAGTCTGCAGCTATTGTCCGCTTACTACTGAATTGACACACGTATTTGGGCACATTAGCGTCATAGCTAGGTAACTAGACATTGTCAGCTTATTTACTCGCTTTCAACTCTCTCTGACTCTCGTGTTTTTAATTCCCAATTAATCATATCTATCATCTCCTTCTCTTGTGAAAACATGGTAGCTTTCACTAGCCCATGAATGTAAAAATCGGGAGCATGTATTCTGGAAGCAATTAGCACGGAATTTCCTAAAAATGAAAGAACGAAGAGAACGTGGGACCTACTGTCAAGGGTCCAGTATCGTCGACGAACACCCTCCCACTCTCCCTTTCCAGCTTCGGCGAGGGCGGACATATCGACATCAATCTCCTCCCATGAAATGTCGAAGCCAGCCTCCTTTCCATGATCCTTCACCACCTCGAGGTAGACATCGTAGCAAATCTTTCTATCCGCGCCAAGGCCATTAAAGAAGCTGAATCGGCCCTCCTCATCTAAGAGGCCTAAGAGGTATTCGGAAAAGAACGTGCGCAGCTCCGAGTAGTCTTCCCCAAATGTGTCGAAGTAGATGGCGTCATACACCTCTCCTTGCTCCAGCAGTTTGAGTACTACGTCCTGCCATTTCCCGGCGTAAATCTTGTAGGCGCCCTCCTCGGGCCCGCTCTTCTCCCAGCTGGGACCGAACTTAGAGTCTGACTTGGCAACGTGCTCTAGAACGGCGGGATGGGCCTCGATGATATGGTGACGGGAGGGCTTCAACTCAGCGAACATGCCGTCCACAATACCCATTCCGAAACCGATGTTTAGAATTCGCTTTCCGGTTGGAGCATTGGGTAGCAGAGCGGCTACAGAGCGCTTCATGATATCGGTCTCCCAGGCCATCATCACACCGTTGAGGTCTGAGTCGACGAGTTTGCCATCGTCGTAGGTTAGCTCCGACTTGAGGTACTCGTCGCTCGTCACTGGCTTCTCGTTATCACCGGGAGGAACCAACTCGGTCTCATCTCCATTGACGGTGACCAGCTGAGGGGCTTCATCCTCGACGTCCATGGCGTCGCCGTCATCCTCGGCCCCGGCGGCGGCTTCCTCCCCCTCGTCCTCTGATCCCGAGGGCAGCACTTCATATCCCACATCATCGGGAAGGGATAGTTGCTCGTCAGGAAGGGATAGCAGCAGTTCTGCTTGGACGCCGGCTCTAACGCACCTTTTATACAAGGATTTGCGGCCCAACCTAAAGGCCACGCAGCCAGGAGTCTCATCGTTCTCGTCGACGGCGTTCCAAATAGCACCAGAGTAGAATAACTCCTGTATAATTTCACTTGCCTCCTCTACGACACCGTCCTCCTCTTCTTCGCCGTCATCCTCTTCTTCGCCGCCATCCTCGGTCTTCTCAGCGGGGCCGCAGGCCCGGATGGCAGCATGGAGAGGTGTCTCTTTCGTATCAGGGTCTTGGGCATTGGCAACAGAGTGGTCATAGGTAAAATAGGAGGGAGCATTGGCCTCAGGGCGCGCTTTGAAGATCTTTTTTAATCCGTCAAGGTCATGACCCCATGTAGTGTAAAGGATGTGCCGGATATTTTCAGGACATTTATCGGAAATCCGCGCCGGCATGGAGTCATCGATAGGTTTTGCCATTTCGCCAGTATACCAAATGCTTGTCTGGTATACTGACACCCGCACTTAGTGGCGTACTTGTGGAAGGTTTTTTTTTTTTTCTCTCTGCATCTCCACCTGGGTTCCTCCAACAGAGTGTCCAGCCTATGGCAATGGGTAGGAGCAGTGTAAGCCCCAAGAATCCTGACTAGGTACAAATACCATGAGAGCTTCTGACTACCTAATGAATCAAACCACGATGGTTTGAGAGCCATTACAGAATATGTGAGCCAAAATTCCTTAAAAATAAGATAGAGATTCCTAGCATCAAAGACATGTCGAGCGAGATATGACAATCGCACTTGCGACTCGATAGCACCCCGCGCCTGTTGTTCTCGCTGTGTGATTACTACTACCAGCTCTGCCCCACGTCGACAATTCCTATTTGGTAGAGAGAATTACTGATAGCCTCAGGGCTTGATGCACGGCAAGCCGTTCCAGGAGCTATCGCCTCCAGCTGGAGCACCGCGAAGCTAATGCACCAGTGGGTAGGGTGGATTCGAATGTGGGCGCGACCAGGTCTCCCTTCACGTTGCCCTGACATTTACAATGATTCGCCAATGCACGATCCGCCCTAGAGCTGTTCGGGCGCAGGTACCGTGGTAGGTGAGGCTAGCGACAGTGCCGGCGGAGCTGTGACGAACTCCCTCAAAAGATCGAGTGCATATCCATTCGTATCAGCTGTTGGCAATATTCTCGTACCTGAGGACAATATTGTATGTTGGCAGAAACTGCGAAGCGATTGACGAGAGGATGGTGGACAGTACCAATTGCCGTGCAAGTCTTGAGTTACGATGGAAGGTTAGCAATTGATAGCTGTAGCAGGCCAAAGCTTCAATCCCAAGTCGAGTGATCCAGGATGGTAGGAGCTAGTCAGTTCAGTGGGGTTCGCGACTTCCCTTCAAGACCATGCCTTGCACTAATAACCGACCTCGTTCGCTTGTCGCATCGTCCTTCCCTTCACTTGCTCTCTGGAACACCTCATTCCAAGGCAAGGTCTGGCTTGATCCCTTGCGACAACCCAGCTCTGGTCAAAAACACATCAGGTGAGCACTTTCCTTTTTTGCAGCTACCCGCGTCCCTTTCGTCATTGCCCTCCGCCCCGGTGCAGTGCAGTGGGTAGTAGAGGCCTGAAAATTGGCCCCGGGCCGGAAAACACGAAAGAAAACATCGCTTCATTCGCTTCAAATCGACTGACGGGTTTATGCTATCGGCCACTGCTCGACAGTCCCGCTAACGCCTGCCAATGCTCATTGTTCAGGACCTGAAAACACGCAGTAAAACTTGGACAACGTCCCGATCAGAGACCGTCCGGGTCAGACCTGGTGTCGTCGTCATGAAGTTCGGAGAACAGCTACGATCGAGCGTCATTCGCGAGTACCAATGGTACTACATTGATTACGATGGCCTCAAGCAGGAATTGAAGAATGCCACCGGCCCTCCACTCCCCAGCTCGGGCCTGGGCCACGAGTGGACCGAGGAGGACGAGACGCGCTTCGTCACCAAGCTCGAGTCGGAGCTCGAGAAGGTTCACACTAAGCAGCAGGTGAAGGCCATGGAGATCTCCCGCCGAATTGCCGTCAGCGAGCGTGAAGTTAGGGAGGTCGTCAATCGCCTAAACGAGCGTGGTCTTCGGGAAGATGGCCCTACTGAGGAGGAGTTCATGCTCCTCGAGGAGGATCTCAGCGACGTCATCGCCGATGTCCACGACCTTGCCAAATTTGTCCAGCTCAACTACACTGGGTTCTCGAAGATCATTAAGAAGCACGATGTAAGTTCGGCCAACTTGATTCTTCCAGCCACTTTGTTGGCCGTGGCTAACAATCGAACAGAAAACCACCGGCTGGCACCTTCGACCTGCCTTTGAGAGCCGTCTCAAGGCAAAGCCTTTCTACAAGGAAAACTACGACGCATCCGTTATCAAGCTTTCGAAATTATACGATCTGGTTCGAACCAGAGGTAACCCGGTCAAGGGCGATAGCGCTGCTGGTGGTGGCCAAGCCAGCTTCATCCGACAGACGACCAAGTATTGGGTGCACCCAGACAATGTAACTGAGCTCAAGCTCATCATTCTCAAGCACTTGCCCGTTCTAGTCTTCAACGCCAGCAAGGAATTCGAGCAGGCAGACTCGGCCATTACGTCCATCTACTACGATAACACGGATACATGGGATCTTTATGAGGGCCGACTCAAGAAGACCGAAGGTGCCGAGGCAATTCGTCTTCGTTGGTATGGTGGCATGCAGAATGACACCATTTTCGTTGAGCGCAAGACTCATCGTGAGGACTGGACTGGCGAGAAGTCCGTTAAAGCCCGTTTCGCAATGAAGGAGAAGAATGTCAACGCCTACATGAAGGGTGAGCTCCTCCCCCCTGCCATTTTCGAAAAGGCTCGCAAGGATGGTAAGAAATCCGAGAAGGCAATTGCCGAAGATGAGCGACTGGCTTCAGAAATCCAATACTCTATCCTCAGGAAGGGCTACAAGCCTGTGTGCCGTTCTTTCTACAATCGCACGGCTTTCCAACTTCCTGCCGATGCGCGAGTACGTATCTCTCTTGATACCGAGCTTACCATGGTTCGAGAGGACAACCTTGATGGTCGCGACCGAAGCGGCAAAAACTGGAGGCGAACCGATATTGGAATCGATTTCCCCTTCTCTCAGCTGCCCCCGGAGGATGTGGAGCGATTCCCGTACGCTGTCCTTGAGGTGAAGCTACAAACCCAAGCTGGGCAAGAGCCTCCCGAGTGGGTTCGCCAGCTCATCGCTTCCCATCTTGTAGAGGCAGTTCCCAAATTCTCCAAGTTCATTCACGGCTGTGCCACCCTATTCCCTGACAGGATTAATCTACTGCCCTTCTGGATGCCACAGATGGACGTTGATATTCGTAAGCCTGTGTCTCACAGCTTCGGAATTCACCGTCCAGGTCAATCTGCTACGAGCACCTCAGATGACGCCGACGATGACTTTGATTCTGACGATGAAGATATCCAACCCTCTACCGATGTAGTCGCGCGCGGTGGAGCATCTAATGGAGCTGGAGGAGTCGATGCCGAGGGCCAAACCGTGGAAGTTGCTGGGAATGACGACTATATCTATGACTCGGATGATGAATATGATGAAGGCTATGAATTGGAAGAGGCCAGACGCGCGGGTGGGCTGCACTACTACAAAAAGCTCGTTGCAACCAAGGGCCAGGCCTTGGGCCGGGGCGCACTGTATGTCCTGAAGGCATTGATTCCTGCCCCCCGTGCTACGCAAGTGGACCGCAGCGCCAGGCAGGAGATGTTCTTTGGTAACGGTCCTGTTCACAGCAAGAAGTTCAAGGCGCCTCCAGGCAAGAAGATTTATGTGCCTGTGCGTGTCGAGCCGAAGGTATACTTCGCAGCTGAGCGAACGTTCTTGGGCTGGGTAAGTTCATTCGCATTCATGCCATCTACTCGAGTGTAGCTGCAGACTAACTGGTGCTCAACAGCTCGAATATTCCATCTATATTGGAACCATTGCCGTGACGCTTCTTAACTTTGGATCCAGCACTTCGGCAGCCTCATTCTGGGTCGCTTCTCTGTTCACGCTGCTTGCCATCGGAAGTCTGCTCTACTCGGTAGGCACTTATCTCTATAGAAGCCGGTCAATCCGAAACCGCAAGGCCGCTAAATACTACGACCGCTGGGGCCCAACAGCCCTTTGCGTCTCACTCTTTGTGGCGGTCGCCCTGAATTTTGTATTTGAGGGACGGGATAGGGAGTTTTGGTAATTGATTTGGTCAACCCGTTTTTGTATATGTCTTTCGATTGCAGATTGTCTTGGTTTCACAAAATTGTCGTCGACAAGTTGCCGTCTGTGTTGCACGAAGGGGCAGTTTTTTGGCCGTGTGAAATGGAATGTATCACCATAGTCTTATATGTGTTATATCATAATAAATTCTAGCCATGGCTGTGTCTATACCGTCTACAGTTTTATGCCAGAGAGGTGAGAACATAATCGACGGTTCAAGGTGACTTCTGTCAAGGCAGGGGTGTCTTCAACGTTTCAGTAGCCGCCCACACAAAGGTGGCCCCGCTGACAATGTAGCATCCAAGTTATTTGGGAGCTGGAGACTTAGAATAACCGCCATAGTCTTCCAACAAATCCCCCATGTCTTTTTAGCTTGCCTTCTAAACAAGGTAGTTAGTCTACCTTGACCTTGCTTAGCCCCATTCATATTAGAGAATCTGGCACCGTTGCATGTCTTTCTATAGCAAGTAGCTGAGATAAAACATGGCACACCAGAGTTCTTTTCATAAAAGCGAGAGACCTCTCTCTCTTATTATAATACTAATAACAATAATAGTAAAATAATAAATTATTCTATTCTATTTATCTTGATATTATAATAATATCTGGGTTAATTGTTCTGATGTTGCATCGTAATCTGAGGCTGTAAGGAGGCTTTGGTATGCCCAAAATGCGGCCGGGTGGAGAGGGAGGCTTCGCTACCTGTACGCAGATGACTGCAGGCAACATAGTTACACTGCTAGGATCAGCAGTGCCACTACACGAAGAAATACATATATGATTGCCCCATCGCATCCTGTACTTGAGCCCTTTATCACTGCCATCTCTTCCGCTTCTAAGATATCATTAGGAGTTCCCTTACATCTCCTCGGTTTTGAGGTATGTCATATGGCTCAACTTCTGTGGCTCAGATGACTTGGACCGGTGCCATAATATCTGCGGTTACATTTATCGCTTTACTGCTTGGCTTCTTACTTGTTCTTCCACGATGGAAGCGTTATGCGACACCTTCTCCAAGGATAGCACCTCCCATGTGCTATAGAATCCAGCAAATTCCTGCTACTGTGACAGAAACGGAGCTTCTACGCCAGTTGGTCGAATCTATTCCAGGCTTGGATGGACCGGGTAGTAACTCGGCAAGCCTTCGCTTGAAGATCGCACACTCGTCTGGGCAGTCTCGCACCGCAACATTCATTTCAGCCAAAGCTCCAAAGAACCTAGGATATCACGTTGACAAAAATTTCTACGGGATAACCCTTTTATATGAGGGGGAGGATGCCACGGTCGAGTAAGAGCAGTGGCACTTCGCCGCCCGTATTAAAACTTCGATGCTAATGTGTGTATAGCATCATTGCGGTTCACGGTTTGGGCAGTCATGCAATTGGTGGATTTCAGAATAAAGAAACCCAAGCAGTCTGGCTACGCGATTTTCTACCCAACGATTTTCCGAACAGCAGGATCCTTGTCTATGGGTATGGCTCAGCCGTCACCGATAAAGACAGTAAGATCTCCATTGAGGGCCTGGCAAGGTCCTTTCTAGACTCCTATAAGGCCTTCCGACAAACGACAGAGGTACGGTGATCATATCTGCTTCTCCAAGAAATTAACAGGTATTCAACATTCGGCATCCTAGACCACACAGAGGCCGATTATTTTCGTTGGCCACAGTTTAGGAGGGCTTTTAATCAAAGAGGTACACATTGGCCACTGTTCACAGCCTCAATACTTTACTGATCCTGATTTAGGCCCTCATCTTAGCAAGTCAGGATGATAAAGACCGTGAAAATAACGACTTCTTCAAATCCGCATCTGGGTTGATGTTCTTTGGTGTCCCGAATCTGGGAATCAATCTCGGAAAGCTACGAGAGATTACCCGCGATCAACTCAATAACCAGCTGATAGTGGATCTCCAACTTGATTCAGAATCGGAACCCACTCCGTATATGAAAACACTACTAGGAAGGTTCAGAAGCTGCCATGAGAAGCAGGATCCTCCAATGAGAATTATCTCTTATTACGAGGAGAAGATGACTGACACCCTGATGGTACGTTTACAGGCGTTCCTTCTGTTCAGGCAACGATTGAATAGTAGCTTGCTGACAGACAAACTGACCAGGTCGACAAAAGGGGCAAAGTCTCAAGAGGAGGACAAAAGTGTTTCATGGTGACAGAGGAATCAGCGTGTCAGATCGGGTTTATGAACAACACCCACGATAGGCTACCTTTACCTTCTAATTATTCAAACTTGGTAAAGTTCCTGAACGAGGCAGATGACAGCTACATAAGAGTACGGAACAAGTTGCGAAGACTTATCGAAGAAGGACCGGATGTTGTTTCCAAGCGATTTGTACCCCCGACCAGTATGTAGAAACGGCAAATCTCTAATCCAGTCAGCAATTTAACGTTTCCATCTAGAACTTTCGTCAAAAGAGAAGCGACACTGGGATGACTTGAACGTTCCTGACTACCGAGCCTTTTACAAAAGCGGAAAACTAGCGAAGCCAACTGAAGGTACTCTTCAATGGCTCGTGCAAGAGGACCCTGCTGAAAATAATCCTTTTATATACTCCTATGATAAGTACCGGCATGATACTCACAGTCTGCGAACAAAAGATTTCGAGGCATGGCAAAGGAATACGAAGCCATGTGCACTGCTAGTACTTGGGCAACCTGGGCAAGGCAAATCGGTATTATCGAATTTCGTAGTGTCCCACCTCCAGCAACAGGAGTCCATCGATAAGAAGAGTAGTGTGAAAGTGATCTACTTCTTCTGCAACATCAAGGACAATAACTCGAGAACTGCTTCTTCTGTTCTTCGGGCACTGATAGTACAGCTATCCGAAGACCAGAGACTTTTTCAGACTCTTCCCAACCGGTTTCAAGACCCAACAGAATACAAGTCCTTTCACTCTGCCGGGTTCTATGACCTATGGAGCACGTTTCATGATCTGGTGTCTTTGAGCCCTTATGACTGGATTCACTGCATCATTGATGGCTTGGACGTGTATCCCGATCCGGAGATCAGACCCCTAGTGCAAAAATTGCACGACATGGTCCAAGTCAAGACAACATACCGGCTGAAGCTGTTCTTCACCAGTCGGCCAACTGGTCCTGTGGACATGTTTGCGACTGAACTAAGACGAAACCTTCGACCGCCTCAAAAAGCTATAAAAACTTTCATCGAGTCGCAGGTCGAGTCGTTGCCTGCAAGATTCAAGAGCTTCAAAAGAGAAATAGTCGACTCTCTTTCGAAATTTGCAGGGGGGACTTTCCTTTGGATACATATCGTACTAGGGGAGGTCCGGAAACTTCGGTATCCAACCAGTAATTTGGTTCAGGCAACAATAAATCAAACACCACGAGAGCTCAATGAGCTGTATATGGCCCTTATCCAGGCCGCGTTCAAAGACGACCACGATAAGGCCATTTTGGCCTGGGTAGCCTATGCCAAAAGACCACTTTCTCTCGAAGAATTAGAAATGGCCGTTGCTGTCATGGTTACGAATGCGAACAGCTTGTCAGAATGCAATAGGCAGAAGGCCTCTTTGGATAGTGATTCCATTCATGAAAAGCTGGGAGCATTAATCGATATCATTAACAACAAGCTCTATCTAATCCATCAGTCGTTATTGGATTTTTTGAAGGGCCAACCGGAAATATGGGAGAAAGGAGGCCTCGCACTGAAGTTCCAACGACATCCGAATATCGAGTTAGGGAGGGCGTGTCTAAACTATCTAAGTTTTGCCGATTTAACCTCCAACGATAAATCCACCGTTAACCGACCCGGCATCCCGTTTGTTTCTCTTTTCCCTCAATATGCTTCTGATCATTGGTATGAGCATATACAGAGCGCTGAGGACGTCACGGGCATCACGGAAAAGCTGAAATACGTATTAAAAGGCCCAAACAAGATGTTTTGGCTAAACAGAAACCTTCGGTGGAACCAAAGGGTTTCCCAGAGAATTTTTTTTCGTGGACGTCAATCATCAATATTCAGCATTTCCCTCGTGTTAGATATTGATTGGCTAGCACGAATACTGGTAGATAAGAGCATACCAGAAATCTCCTGCGCTTTGAAAGAAAGCCACCTAGTAACAGCAACTGAAGGTGCACCAAAGGTGCTTCAGGAGCTGCTACGGGATAAAGGCGCTTTACCAAAGGTCAATATAGGAGCGGGCAAAAACAGACTCAGAAACAACATCCTTCTAATGGTCCTCCTGGAACATGGGGGTAAAGAAGTTAAGATCTCAGAACCCGTGGTTATGGCAGCAGCAATGATGCGCTACTTAGGGAAGGAGACCCTAGAGCTATTGCTAGAGGAGAGAGGCGATGAGGTTCAAATCACGGAGAATGTTCTTTTTGCAGCAGCAGTGAATTCCAAGAGTGGGAAGGAGATCCTAGAACTGCTGCTAGAGAAGAGAGGCGATGATTTTCAGATCACGAAGAAGGTGGTTACACAAACAATATACAACGTTGGTTGTGGAAAGGAAATCCTAGAGCTACTGCTAGACAAGAGAGGGGACGAGGTACATATCACACAGGCGCAGATTCGACACGCAGCAAACCTTCAGGATGAAAAATTCCTGGAGCTACTGTTAGAGAATAAAGGCAATGAGATACAGATCACAGAGAAGGTGATTCTAGAAACAGCAGAGAATATCTCTCACGGCAAGAAAATCTTCGAGCTACTGCTAGAAAAGAGAGCCAATGAGGTTCAGATCAAGGTTCAGATCACGGAGAAGGTGATTCTAGCAGCAGCAAAGAACAGTTCTCAGGGTGGGAAAATCCTAGAGCTACTGCTAGAGAAGCGAGGAAATGAGGTTCAGCTCACGGAGAAGGTGATTGCAGCAGTGAAGCAGTGGAAATCAGGGAGGAAGTGGTTAGAGCAGCAAGGGATTGTAGGCTGACAGGGCCCCAAAGCTACCACGAGAGAAGAGAGGTGATATGAAAATCGCACATGTCCAAGCATAGGGCTAATAGCAGGAGGGAGTGGTTCTACTAGCGAAGATAAACCAAGAAATTCAGTAGTATAAAACGAAAGAAAGTAACAGAATTTACATACTATCTCTCAAGTGTGCATTAATACTCAATAATTTAATAATACAGGTTCCAGACTCGATAATAAGCAGCTTAATGTTTGGGTGTCTCAATTTCAATGTCACCCACTTGATAAGGTAGAGCTGGATTGAGCTTGAACAGTGGGCATTAAGCCACCGTTAACTATTTTCACAGCGCAGGTACTTTATTCATACTATTCATACTAACGAGTTACTTGTCAACCATAAAGCCAAAGTGGCTTGGGTGCAAATCAGTCAACATCCCGAGAGCGGGATCGGCCGTGAGGGACCGAAGGATAACTGGAGCCGTGATGGGGAAATGGGGCACCACCCCGGTGTCGCTGCATTTATATAAACCGCCTGCTATCATATACCTATGCTGTGCGTACAGGACTGACTGAGAAGCAGAACCGAAACTCGTCCGTAAAGAAAGAATAAAATGGTGGTGCTCAAGCCTCAATCCAAGTTTGGCCACGCGCCTCCTCCACAGACTCCCTACAGCATCATCAGCAACCTCGGCACTTGGGAGGAAAACAGGCTCTTCCGCGAGGGAGACCCTGAGACTCTCAATCGCCTTGTCCATATCTATCCTCGCCTGAAACCTACACACTACGCTGCCCGGGTAATCGCTCCTCTCCCTTCCGTCCTGTCCTGCCATGTTCAAGTGTACATGTACAGGATTGGCAAGATCGAAGTCGTTGGATGTAAAGCTAACTGTCGGCTTTCTTGGTCTCATAATGTATAGCTATGCGATGAGATTGGCCGCGTGCTCGGGGCTGAGCATCTGGGCGTCCAGATGTACCTGAACCCGGATCTCTGGCCCTTCACCAAACGACACATCACTCTACCTCAACGCCGCGCCAAGGTCCTGAAGCCAGAAGATGTCTCCTTCCGATGTGTCGATGTAGCCGGCCACAGGCTGTACGTCGTCCTCTATGCCAAGGAACATGCCGCCGGTGTCTCCTTGGCCTGGGCGATGCCCGGCCTCGGTCTGTCCATCCGCGGCGCAGAGCAGCTGCTCGAGGGCGTGAGCGATATGCGCGAGGTCCCAATCGTCGATGGCCAAGTCCCCGAACCTACCTGGACGCCCGAGACGGAGGCTCATCAGGGTGTGAAGAGCCGTATCATCGAGCTTCTCCATCACGCCGCCATTGAGCCCAGTAAGGTCCAGGCCACTCCTAAGGATGTGTTCCTTTATCCGACAGGCATGGGAGCCATCTTCCACGGCAACAGGTCCATGCTCAAGTACCGTCCTGGAACCATTGTGGTCAGCGGTGTCATCTTCCACAACTCGTACCACCACTTGATTGAGGAGTGTCCTCATGGCTTCAAGCATTTCGGGAGGTTTGACGACCAAGGCATCAGCGACCTCGAGGCATGGCTTGAGACGGAGAAGCAGGAAGGCAGGGAGGTAAGCTATCTGATCGTCGAGTTCCCGGCGAATCCGACTTTAGAGACGCCTGATATTGCACGGATCAAGAGACTGGTAAGGAACGAATCACGACATGACGACCAAACAGTTTTGACGACAGTGTTGCTAAAACCTCCGTAGTCCGAGAAATACGGCTTCGTCCTCATCGGCGACGACACGGTAGCCGGCTTCGGCAACATCGACATCTTCCCCCAGTGCGACGTCCTCCTCACCTCCCTCACCAAATCATTCAGCGGCCGCGCCAACGTCATGGGCGGCTCCATCACCCTCAACCCCCTCTCGCCACACTACGCCGCCCTCTCGTCCCTCTTCACCTCCTCCCACCACAACGAGCTCTTCCACGGCGACGCCCAGACCCTCCTCGACAACTCCCAGGACTTCTTCGAGCGCACCAAGATCCTCAACCGCAACGCCGAGGCCGTCGCCGCCTTCCTCCACCAGCAGGCCCTCGACCCGTCCTCCCCCGTCATCAACGTCCAGTACCCCACCGTCTCGCCCAGCAAGAGCCTCTACGACGCCTACAAGCGGCGTCCCTCCCCCGAGCTCCCCGAACCCGGGTACGGCTGCCTGCTCACCGTCGAGTTCGACGGCATCCCCTCGGCCAGGGCTTTCTACGACCGGTGCGGCTTCTACCCGGGTCCGCACCTGGGCGGGCATGTGACGATCCAGTACGCGTACAACATGGCCGTGTTCGGGAAGCACGCTGAGGAGCTGGCGTACTTTAGGGAGTTTGGCGTCAAGGAGGAGGCGGTGCGGATTTCCGTGGGCTTGGAGGATGTGGAGGACCTTCTTGATACGCTCAGGGATGCTTTGGATGGTCTTCCTGTGGTAGAGAAAGAATAACCTTATGGCATATGAAATAAAATCAAATCAGATATAAATGAAGATCCATCATCTCACCACAAAAACAGGCACAAGGAAAGAACTGCTTGATCAGATGCAATTTCGCTGTAAATGACTGGTCTTCTCACTATCATTATATTCGTCTATTACCATCACATTTCCAAATCCAGCTGTCCACAATGCCCTTGGTGACACCTTTTCCCCTGCCCTGTAACAGTAGCCACATCTCAACCAAATGCAAACAAAAAGGACAGTTGAGAGGACGCCAGAAACCGTCCCAGATCGTATCCGCATCTAGATCATTCAACATCATCGTTTATACAGTTCCCTCATACGATAGCAGTGACCCGCCTCACGCTCCTTCTCGGCCCGTCTCCGGAAACCATGATGGCATTCTCCGCCTCGAGGGCTCGCATGGCCTCGTTGAAGTCAGCCTGCTCCACGGGCATGTTGAAGCCCTCGCTAAGCCTCCTTCCCACCTCACTCCATCGCACCGTGTTGCCACCGGCAGTCATCTCATCCAGCAACTTGATAAGAGCTTCCTTGATATCGGCCTGTCGCTGTCGGTCTGCAGCGCTGACTCCTTCAGTCAGGAGACTCATGTCGATACGGCCTTGAGAGTCGGTGGCTGCGGTCTTGAGAGCGCTCTGGATGAGACGGTAGGCCTCTTGGACGTCGTCGATAGTGACGGTTTCTGAGAGGCGCATCTTGGCGTGGGCCTCGGACAGACGGATCATGCTTTCAAGCTGTCGGGTAGTGGCTGTGATGCGAGTCTCCGAGGAGCGGACATCCTGTCCCAGTGCTCGCATGGCGACGTAGTTCTCGACGAGCTGCTGTGCAGCTTCCGAAGAAATGACAGGCTGAATGTTGGACCGCGCGTAGGAAATATAGAGAGTGAGGAACTCTATATCTAAGATGTCAGAATCGGAAGGTGCTGAGTCGGGCTTGTCTTCTAGGTACAGAGACAAGAGATGCTTTGCCAGACGCTTGTCTGTCTTCTCATCAACCCGATCAAGAATGAGATAGATCAGGTCGAAACGAGACAGGAGAGTTGGTGGCAAATCGATGTTCTGAGGGACGGAAAGGTCAGGGTTGTAGCGACTGCCGATAGGGTTGGCAGACGCCAGAATGCTGGTACGAGCGTTGAGAGTGGTGATGATACCAGCCTTGGCGACGGAGACTGTCTGCTGTTCCATGACTTCGTGAAGAACCGAGCGAGTCGCGTCGGACATCTTGTCGAATTCATCAATGCAGCACACACCACCGTCAGACAGAACCAGAGCTCCAGACTCCAACACGAGCTGTCGGGTCTCGGGGTCACGAGTGACATATGCCGTCAGACCGACAGCTGAGGAACCCTTACCGCTGGTGTAGACACCACGAGGTGCGATCTTGTGAACGTAGGACAGCATTTGGGATTTTGAGGTAGATGGGTCACCGCAGAGAAGGACGTTGATGTCGCCTCTGTACTTGGGGCTGCCACCTTTTTCGAATGTTTTGTTGGCTCCACCAAAGAGCTGCAGAAGGATACCCTTCTTCACATCGTCCATTTCATAGATTGAGGGAGCGAGAGACCGGGAAAGAAGATCGTAGATATCTGAACGGGCAGCTGTCTCTCGGATCTTCTCCTCCTCTTCTGGTGTGATGACGCGAGTCTCCTCAAGCTTGTTGGCTCCCTTCTCCTCCTCCTGACCATCGACCATGAGTGTGCTCTGGTCTTGGCCCAGACGTCTGGCGTCCACCTTTTGAACATGGACCATGTCGACAAAGGTCTTGTGCACACTCTTCAGTGCTCGTTGGCGAGGGTTGACTCGCACAGGATTCACTCGGAAAATTCCAGTTACCTGGATACGATCACCAGCCTTGCAGAAGTCCACCAGGTCGTTGTATGCAACAATAGAGACGGAATGAGGTGTCTGACCTGCAGGGACTGCATCGGGGGTCTCTTGAAGCTTGATGACTTGTTTGTCTTCGAAATGACATCTGTTGTGGATGATTTGCATCGAGTTCTTGGACTTGCAAAGGTCTCGTGGGCATTCAGTCGGCTCGCGAATTTTGCCACGCTCAATCGAGACGTTGATTGAGTGGTTGCACACATTGCAACGGAAGAAAGCCTCCTTCATGTCAGGAATGACTGGAGTCGCACGGATAACCAGTCCCTTGACACAAACCAAACGATCCATATCTATAAGGCGTTCGTGGTTAGCACAATCGTGGACTCGCATTTGCAAAATGTGACAATTTTCTCACCAGATGGGTTTAATTCTCGCATGTTAGTCGATTGGTCCAGTCCGTATGGTCGAACGTAGTAAAGAGTCGAGGCAACCTGGTCCTCCAGAGACTCCGTCGCTTGGGGGCGGGGAGTAACAGGCTCATCAGGTCTGTCTGAGCTGGGAAATACAGGCTCAGAGCTCTGTCGGGTCTGTTGAGACGCGGTGTGTCCTGCACTGCTCTGTGATGGTCGATTCCTCTGATCCTCAGAATGTGCGACTTCCATCATGCAGTCCTTCAGTGCCTGATCCATGATGGGAATGATCTCATGGGGGTAGGCTTGAACCTGGTGCCACATCTTCTT